GAGGACCCGGATTGTTGTTGGGGGCAACATGCTGACTCTGTCAACTGCTTAGAGAGGGCTGAAAGCCCCATGAAGCGGTAGATAAGTCGAACTGCTATTGCTATTAGTTGTGTAGCAGAGCGATGGCATTCAGGAAAAAAACTGTCCTTGTGTCTAGTTGTCTTGTTGCACAGTGCCCGAGAGCCTCGTTTTGAGGGTAGGAGTTGAAACAGTTTACGTCCAGGATGCGAGGGGTCAGTAGATATTTTTTTTCCCAACAGTTTCCATGGCAGACAAGGTACAGCAATGTCATTAAGTGGAACTTAAAATGGGTTAACACCTGGTGGGGGTGCAGGAGGTTTTACGGTGGCCGGAAGGGCCTCCCTGGCCGTAAAGCACTCACTTTGAGGCTGCCGTAATTCAGCATTGTCGTAACACAGACGGTCGTAAGTGCAGAACTACAAGTGTTTTCTAACTTGGCCACTTTTAGACAGCTTCAACTCCCAGAATTCTTGCCCCTGATGGTCTCTTCCTTTCTCTTTCCAGGCCAAGCAAGTCCTCCTGGAGAACAGCTTCCAGGGTAAGAGTCTGGGGGTCCACCAGCCCCCGGCCCCATTTCCAGCATGTTGCTACAGCTGTCTGTTCTTGCGTGGGGAGGGGGGGGGGACACACAGGTCTCTGGCTATTTGCTTTCCGAGTGACGGGTTCTCCCCTGATTGCCAGGATCCCCAGACGGGGTCTTCAGCCCCGAGACCCCCAAGAGGCCCCTGCCTTCTCCTCCGCTGGACGAGCCCAGGGCCAGCCTGCGTGGCCGCCGGCAGTCAGGTGAGGCCGGATCAGCAGTTAACACAGGCATCTCCGCAGGGTCTTCCTTCCGGGATGGTCAAGAGTTCCTTGACCCACCTGGTGGACGGAGGGTTCCTGAGAGTCCCCCACCCCACCCCAGAGACAGGTACAGGCAGTCCTCAGCTTACAACAGTTGATTTAGTGACTGTCCAAATTTACAACGGCACTGAAAAATGTGACTTATGACCGTTTTTCGAAGTTACGACCATTTGCAGCATCCCCGTGGTCAGAATTTCGAACGCCTGGCAACTGGCTCCTATTTATGACGGTCGCAGCATCCCGGGGTCACGTGGTCCCCTTTTGCGACCTTCTGACAAGCAAAGTGAAGGATTCACTTAACAGCCGTGGGACTAATTTATCAACTGCAGTGATTCACTTACCAACCATGGGAAGAAAGTTTGCAAAATGGGGCAAAATTTACTTAACGAATGTTTTGCAGAACAGAAATTTTTTTTCCGGCTCAATCGTGGGAATGCTGCGACGGCTGCGAGTGTGAAAAATAGTGTTAAATCACCTTTTTCAGTGTAACTTGAAAGGGTTGTAAGTTGAGGACTGCCAATGGGAGACTCGGCCTAACAGCGGAGCCTGTAGGAACTTCGATATTTTTCTCATTTTTAAGACGAGGAGCCAAAAAAATGAGGCCTCCAATCAGCCTTCGGAGTTCGGAAAGACCCCGGACTACAATTCCCAGAATTCTCTGGAGCCTTGTTGGCTAAGAATGATGGGGGATGTAGTCTTGATACTTCCTCTGGCTGATCTAGAAGAGAGTTCCTCAGTTTTAGCAACGCTGCAAGCCGCAATGAATCCTTGGTTCGCATAACAACCGTGGCGTTTGCGTTACGACCGTTACAAGAAAGTCCAGGAAAATCGGGTCAGCCGTGGGGGAGGGGGGGGAACCTGATTCATGACCGTCCCAATTTACAACTGTGATGCGCAGGCTCTATGACGGTTGTAAATCAAGGAATCCCTGTAAACGGGTGAGCTATTTGCATTCCAAAACTCGAAACTCAAAATTCCTGAAGGGTTGTATTTAGTCGCTGGGCTTAAAGTGGGGCCGGGGGGGTCCTAGGACCATCCCTGCTGAGGTGGGGCGGGGATTCGAACCCAGAACCTCCTCTTTCAGAGCCTCCGGAGTCCATGTACAGCCCCGAGAGAATCCGGCGGAGCTGCCCCATTTTACAGCTGGAGAAAAGCGGCTCTTATCGCCGAGGCCGCCGGCAGTCAGGTGAGATACCTGGGGAAAGGGGCGGGGCCGCACAAGGTGGGCGGGGCTCCAGCCTATCCTCAGGCGGAGGAGCCCTTCCCAAAGCAGGCTGTGTGTCCTGCAGTGGGACACCAGGGGGCGCCAGCAGACCACGAGACCTGCTCATCCTCCCTGTTCGGATGTCCTTATCTTGTGACCGAAACGGTCACGTTGAAGGAAGCCAGGGGCAGAAAGCGTCCGAGGGAGCCTCCCAGAGGAAGCCGTTCCAGATAGCGTCTGCCTGATCCAGATAGCGTCCCCGGAGAAGCCTCAGCATGGTTTTTCTGTCTTCTTGTTTCTCAACCTTGGCTGCTTGAAGAGAGCTGGATTTCAACTCCCAGAATTCCCCAGACAAAATCATACCAGTTCTATAGCTTTAATTCAATTTAAATTAAATTTAATTTATTTATAACCATTTTTTTTTTGCTTTTATTTTGTACAATGACAGTAAAGGCTATATTATTTAATAGCCCCTATCTTGGAGAGAGTTGGGAGTTCACGGATCTTCACGTTGGCTGGGGAATTCTGGGAATTGAAGTTCACCCAACTTCAAGCTCCCCAGCTGGAGAAATACTGCTTGAGACACTATACAGGTCGTCCTCAACTTACAACCGTATCTCTAGCAACCATTCCAAGTTTAGGGTCACTCAAAAAATGTCACTGACGACCGGTCCTCACCCTTACGACCATTGCAGCTTCCCAGAGCCACGTGATCACCATTTGGTACCTTCTCCGCCCGCTTCCCACAAGCAAAGTCAGTGGGGAAGGCAGGTTTGCTTAACGACCCCAACTCACTTAAGAACTTCGGCGAAAAAGATCGTAAACCCCGGTGCAACTCACTTTACAACCTCCTAACTTAGCAATGGAGATTATGGTCCCAGTGATGGTCATAGGACAGAGATCTTCAAACTTGGCAAACTTTAAGATTAGTGGACTTCAACTCCCATAATTCAGCAAAGCTGGCTGGGGAATTCTGGGAGTTGAAGTCCAC